TTTTTTTTTTTTTTTTTTTTTTTATATAAAATAAAAGTTATCGAGATTAACATAATAAAAGAAAGCAAGTATCGAGTGAAATTTAAAGTTCGGTATGTAGAATAATAATCGGCAATAGCTTTAGAACGTTATGGGAAAGTTTAGCGGGGAAATCTTTTCGCATAAAGAAGATTTAAATATTTTTGATGTTATTGGATTTTGAAGGATCAGACCCGTCTTGACGTTGAACGATGACGGGATTCGTACTACTATCGCCGACTGGTTTACGTTTTGAATACCGTTTATGGAAGACAAACACGGTGTTTCAACTTTGCAAATCCCGTTATAATTTAAACGCCGCCGCGATAGAATGTTTTGTGACCGATGTGAAAATAAATCGTACGATCTTTTACAGAAAATTTTCAAAACGATTCGAATTAATAACGAAAATATAGTAAATTAGAAAAAAAAACACACACACATTACTCGATTATTAATCAAGAGAAAAAAAATAGAGGAAAAAAAGATTTTTTTTTTTTTGCCTCCTCCCCGGGAAAGCTTTTATCGAATCTTCGATTTTCTATCGACGTTTCGATGGAAAACGCATAGCAGTTTGAAAATGGTAGAGAATGGTAGAATTTAATTAAAGATCTTTTCTCTCTCTAACCATTAAATCTCTTTCTTCCCCTTCGTCCTGCACTGTTTCCCTTTTCCATCCTTCTTTCTTCCATCCATCCTCTTTATCCCCCTCTCCCCCTCCTGCTTTATCCTCTTTTGCTATCCTGTCCTATCCTGTCTACCTGTTTCCCTTTCTCCGTACTCCACTGCACCGGGCACACCATGCACAGTTTGCAACTAGGATTCACGATTTGATCTTCGTCAGTTTAACTTTCATGGTGTAGCAACGTTCCCCAGCCGACGAAACGGGACTTTAATTATACCACGGGGTTAATTAATTCCGTCAAATCCTGCAAAGCGTGCTTCGCTATCCTCTTTACTTTTCCTCTCTTCCCCTCCCCCTTTTCCATCCGGCTTCGAACTTGAAATTTATCCTCCCCCCGATACGATATATCCCTTCCCTCCGTGATTTTTCAATGTTTTCAACGAGTAAATAACACGGAACAAACTTCACTATCCTTCATCTTATTCTTCGATATTAAAAAATTGTAGAAATCTCTTTGATCATTTCTTCGATATATTTTGTCGTCAAGTCTTCTTCCCAAGATGCGTGGTGTATCTTTAATTGGAATTGTCGGAACGAAATTTTGAAAACTAGTTTTGAGATTGATGTACCGTTAACACACACTTCTCCATAGATTTCGCGTAACTTTTTTCTTGCCTCAACACCATTCTTATTTTTTCGATAATAAAAAAGTAAAACACACTGAAAAATGTTTCTTTCGATTTTGCATCTTTGTTATCACGCATGAAAAACACACACAAACACACGAAATCGAACGAATTTTTCTTATAAATAAATCAATAGAACCAATGGAACGTTCTCGAAATATTACATAACACGGTTTGGAACGAAGTTGGCTGGATAAACGTTCGACTAGCGACACTCGCGAGAAAACGAAATTATTTTCCGAACGACCCAATAATTTCTACTCTAGAATGAAGTTGGCTAGCTAAACGTTCGACTAGCGACACTTACGTGAGAAAACGAAATTATTTTCCGAACGATACAATAATTTCTACTCTAAAATGAAGTTGGCTGGCTAAACGTTCGACTAGCGACAGTCGTGTGAGAAAACGAAATTACTTTTCGATCCAGTACCTTTATTTCTTTTTAAACATTATTCGTTGAAAATATACTAGATATGATACTATTAATCGATCAATGGAAATAATAACGTGTCGAGCAACATTGTTATAACGTTAAATAACATCGAATTAATAACTTTCTAATTTAGCTGTAATAATTAACGCCTGATTTCCAAAGGATTTCTTCACACGACCGATTACGAATGTTAAATTGCTTTCGAATTCAAGTGTCTTCTTATTTATGGGAAGTGATGCGATCACGTGTGCACCGAGTCGGAAGTTTAATTATACGGAGGGGGGGAATTAATTAACTCCGTGAAATCTCGCGGAACTCATCCAGAGGTTGATCAGAACCGATCGGCAACTAATTAATGGTCAATCTGTTTTTTTCCTTATCGGATTCTCATAGCCTCCTCGGTTTCAATTCGCTCGAGATTTCTCTGAGACTCCGTAGAAAAGTATTTGAAAAACGAGATAATTTTTTTTATAAAATATCGTTCGATACTTTCAAAATCATTGCAAATTGTGAATATTTCTTTTTTTTTTTTTTTTCTTCAAATTCTATTTCACGACGAAAATTTTATCTAATTTAATCCAATAAATGCGCGCATCGCATCGATAAATTTTAATATCTTTCCGAAGCCTGAAAAACGAAAAAGTTTGGTATCGCGAAACTTCACGCATCGAATCGAAAGCCAAGGATAATCCAATATACAGCGACCGATAAATTTTAACTATCCTTTTTTCGAAAAATTTTCCATTACGAAAAAACGAATTTTTGCACCGACCGATCGAAAGAATAAAGATCTTCAAAAACGTTTCGTCCTTTCGTTTCCAAAAAAAAAAAAAAAAAAAAAGAAAAAATTCTGAATAATAAAACTGGGACACAGACAAAACTTTCCACTTTTCCGATTCCGGTCAACGGATCGGTGAATCGAGCAGGGTGCCACTTTGACGATAAAACGATTGTCGAAAAACGGACACCTGTAAAAGCCCGCCTGCACGACCACGTATATAAAATCGAGCAAAGTCATCGCGCAACCGAGCTCTGTATAAAACCTCTGTGGATGGAGGATGTAGAATCCCGAATCCATTAAATATTTGAACGGACGAAAGAGGCGAGGGAAAGGAAGATTCCCGGAGGAGGAAATCCTCCTCCTCCTCCCTCTTAGCCACCGGTACCTAGTATCTCTCTGTATTAATATTTACATTTACATTTCTTCGTCGTCGTTCCTCTCTTATTTCAACTTGATATCAGCCAGGTGGTCGGTCGGCTTTTAGGACGCGCGCACTCGCGACTCGAGCCATCGCTCCCCCCCTCCCCCTCTCCCCTCTCCTTTCCACTTATTATTATGACGGCAAATATCTTTCACCCTGCTCCTGTATCTATATAAATCGTATAGCGGTAGACGGTAGGTTTTAATCTTGAATTTGCATTTTCGTGCGTGAATAGTAGTGGGTGGTGGAAGAAGGAGGGGGGGGGAAGGAATGCAGATCTGATTGGTCAGTTTTGTAGCATTAATTTTGTAATACAAAAATTGTATTAGAGTTAACATTTAAGGAATCCAAGGAAGAATTTTAATTTCTTGTTTCTTATTGGTTTAATTTATATTATATGTATATATATACTAATAAAGTAGATGTAGTGTGGATATAGAAAATATATTTCTAAGATTTCCAATCTTTTTGGAATCAATAATTTTTAACGATTATTTTTATATGATCGTGATTTATTGATAATAATATTTGTGTTGTTTTTCGAAAGATGAAATTTAATTTTTTATAAAATAAATGGATTTATAATATTGGATTAGCAATAATGGTATCAACACCAGTTTCATGTTTGGTTTTTAGCTGGAATTTATTTATTAATTCGATGTGTTGATTTATTGATTAAATTGTGATTTTAAAATTTAATTATTATTTTATTAATTTCAAGATTGTAACAATATTATTTGCTGGATTAATAGCAAACTTTTGAATTGGATATGAAAAAAATTGTGTTCAATATTAAGTTAGGATTTATAACAAGAATAGTGTCATTTAAGAAACTAATATTTTTATATTTATTTATTCGTGCAATATTTAAATCATTAATATTTATATATATATATATATTATGGAATATTTCATATTTATCCAATTAAAGAGAATAATTTTGACGAGTTTTCAATATCAAGATATTATTTCCATTTTTAATTGAATTTTATTAAAAAAATTTAATCATTAAATTATATCTCTTCTACTACTATGCAACGTGTGGTATCAGGATCGTGAACAAAGAAACCCACGAAACTTCCTTCCACCAATGAACAATACGTATTTTACCTTAAAAAAAATCGAAACAATATCAAAAAGTATCTTCGAAGATCGTCGAAGATAAGAAATCTCGTTTCAAAAAAAACCCCTTTTATCAAAGACTCACAGACCGTATAATTAATTAATTTTCTTGTTGAACGAGCGCAAATTTTCGAGTGTTTAAAATTAAAAAAAAAAAAAAAAAGAGGGAAGGGAAAGGAAATCGACCGATCCCCTTTAACGCCCTCCAAGAGGCGTTGAAATTCTCCAGAGAGGAAGAACGAGAGGATGCATATACACCTTTATCAAAATATTAGCATCGAGTGTAATTAATTAACCAGCGTATCGGAGGGATGCGTGTAAATTTTTAATACCGAGCGAGGAGGGGCGGGGGGCCGGAAGTGTGAGAGTGGCGCGCGTTTAGAATGCCCGTGGGAATTGCGTGGGCGAGGGATGGAGGAAGGGAGGGGGAAGGTCGCCTCGAAGGATTCTGCGGGTCGAACCGATCCATCCGATCCATCCGTTTTGTAATGAAAAGCTGGAATACAATTAGCGGTGAATTTATTTAATTAACGGGGGCGTCGGTGGAGATCGACGGTGGAGAGTGAACAAATATCTATAACGAAAGGGACTCTAACGAGGTCCTCGAGACGGTTTCCCTCCAATCAGCCGGATCATTAACTCTGATAATTAATAATGATTGGAAATCGATCGGTCCACCACCGATTCTTCCCAATCCACTGAGTCGCTGAACAAGTTCCGCTTTCGCGAGTTTTCGCA